CTTTTTATCTGAGAACCAACAAAAGGTATTCTAGTCTAGGAAAGCATTTTCAAAATGAAATGAAACACAGTAGGGCTAAGCCTATATGATCGCTTATGAGTTTTCATAGGCAAAAATAGCTCTGCTCGCAAGGAACATAAAATGGGATACCGGAAGAAAGGCAGGTGATGAATAAGTAACACTGCAGAAATTATAACTTTCTATAACCCAGATTGTAGGAATGAGAGCCAGAATGGTTAAAATGTTGGGAGTAGGATCTGGGAACCCCACCTTTGAATCCCACTCTGCAATTGAAGCTCGCTGGGCCAATTACATACTCTCAGCCTAACCTACTTCACAGGGTTGTTGTGAGGCTAAAACAGGAGAGGGAAATTGTGTAAACCACTTTGGGTCCCCATTGTGGAGAAAGGTAGGATATAAATAAATAAAATAAAAACAATCCACATTTATATCCAGTGAAAAAGAGGAAGAGATCCCGATTCCAGCTCCATTCTTTGTTTGAAGTAAGGAAGTATTTCTGCCATTGGTTTTAATAAGTGTAAAAAATGTAGCCAATATCCAGTTAGTTTGATGAACCTAATCTGAATCAACACCCATCTTGCTACAATATGAAGACGCACCATTCTAAAACATCCGCTGAAATGGAATCTCTCTTTTAAGAAAGAATTATAAAGTGTTCTTAGTTAACACTGAAGCAAAAAATACACATTTTGTTAATACTTTTAATTAATACACAAAAATTGGCACTAAAAAGGATATAACATAGTGTAATGATCAGTTAAATAAGAATGAATTCCATTACTGCTTTGGTAAATGTTAACTTTCTTATCCATGGATTTCATGGCTTTTCATATAGCAAAGAATGATAAAAGGGTTGGATGATAAAATGAACCTATTGCCAAATAATATATGAATCATTCTAAAATATCTACTAAAGTCTGCCTTTGAAAAAAGCGGAATCTCTTTCATCTTGCTCAGACTGGCATTGGCTCTCCAATGGGTGATGGTTTCTCTTCTCTTTTCAGTGGATAGTCTACTGAGAGAATTCTCTGCACAAAAGGTCATAATTTTATAATCCCTCTAATGTATCTCATTTAGTCATCTCCTTAAAGATAAAGTGCAGCCTCTTAAGCCTTTCCAGATGAGGGAAAATGCTGAGATCCACAGGGGAGGGCTTCTAGTGTCCTGGTCCCACTGCTGGACCTCCTGATGGCACCTGGTATTTTTGGCCACTGTGTGACACAGAGTGTTGGACTAGATGGGCCATTGGCCTGATCCAACATTGCCTTCTCTTATGTTCTTATGATTTAAAATCAATGTTGAGACCAAAATCCAGGCATTTTGTCCATTAGGTGAATAACCAGATGTTCCTAGGAAACTCAAAAGCAGGGTAAGATGAAGATAGCTATCCCTTGTTATTTATCCCCAACAAAATGAGAGGTACATTGTCTCTCAATATAGAGTTTGTATTTTTAAATGCTTAGTGTCTAATAGTTATTGATAAACTTAGATTTGGCTGACTTTTTAAAAAAAGGTCTAAGTAGTCATCTCTTTCATGGCCATTAGTTCCATAAAATATGGGTTATATTTCTTACTCATGAACCTATTGCCAAATAATATATGAATTAAAAAAGCGGAATCTCTTTCATCTTGCTCAGACTGGCATTGGCTTTCCAATGGGTGATGGTTTCTCTTCCCTTTTCAGTGGATAGTCTACTGAGAGAATTCTCTGCACAAAAGGTCATAATTTTATAATCCCTCTAATGTATCTCATTTAGTCATCTCCTTAAAGATAAAGTGCAGCCTCTTAAGCCTTTCCAGATGAGGGAAAATGCTGAGATCCACAGACTGTCTTATTTAATCTTTTTCTGAATATTTTAGCTCTCTGATGTCTCAATTGCAATACAGTAATCTGATGTATACATTACTTAGTCTAAATGTTGGTGTGCCCTAAGTTTTATATAGTGGTTTTATTAAATCTACTGTTATTTTACAATCCCTTCTTGTTTTCCCATTCAGTTACTCACTGGTTATTTTAGCTATTTCCTGGAAAACATGGAGTTGCTAACTGAAGGTGAGCTCTGACATATCTATGGTTGTGTGTGTGTGTATACATGGTGCTTTGGATAGAACAAACATGCTTGGTCTTTGCTAGGTGAAACTTAACACACTTCCATCTTGAAACCACTTCCCTTCATAGCTGGGTGCATTGGTTTTGTTTTCTAACTAGGACTATGTCCGGAGTAAGAAATCTCTTTTAGAAGAGTCTTTTTACGCACGGAGATGCTGGATGCAACTTTAAGGTTTTTCAAGACTCATAGATACAATTTTGATGACATGCACTATCTAAAATAGTCAGGCATGGCAGAGTACACTATCTTCAGTAACCTTAGGTGAATCTAAAATTGTGCAGACTCAAGCTATTATACAGAGGTGCATCCATTAGTGTCGATCAACTATTCAAAAAACACATTAACATTAATGGCACCTGAATCAGGATGATACATGACTTTAATACTTTGCTTAACATAGACTCCTCCCATGTGATTTTGTCCATGTGAGTGTTTAACTTCCATGGGTTTTAATTAGGGTTATGAGACCTAAGTTCTGTTGCAAGCCAGGAAATGGCTTTCCCGGGAGAATACCCACCAGTATGATGGGGAGAGATGTTGTGCCCTTTCTTGCATGACCAGTTAGTGCTTGTGACACTCAATGGTGAACTGATGGAACAGTTATATAGCAATAGTCAGTGAACTCTTGTAATAATAATAATTATTTATTCCTCCAGATATAAAATTTATTATTGACGAGACATTCGACTTTGGATTGTCTTCTCCTTCAGATGGGTAAGGATGATTAGTCTGACTCCTAGTAGTGTAAATCAGCATTGCAGACAATAAGTGTGTCAGTTCACAATGGCCACTTGATCTGTAAATGGCCAAAATGTCGGTTCAATGGGCAAGATCCTCCACAACCACAGCTCTGTAATGAAGTTTCTCAAACTGGAATTCAATATAAAATCTTTGTTTAACGGTGGGGAGCTGATGCTTTAAGTGATCAGTGGGCCCATCTGCTTCTCACAAAAGCAAAGACCTCTGTGCCTTCAGAATGTTGAGCCCTGCGACATTCCTTTTTGCAGAGTGGCACAGGAGAAATATTAAGTCATCATCACAGGGCAAGTGCTGTGTGAATGGAGGCTGGTTCTCAAATTCTCTGTCAGTTTTGTAGGTTGTGTTATTATATACAATGTCCCACATGTATCTTAAACATACATGTTTTAAAACACCCAAACTGTTAGTTTGGATTTCCAGCATTTGCAAAGTTGCTATTTGAAAACTTTGGTTCTGTTGCATGACAGGAACCCTGTTCTCTTGCTTGCCTTCTTACACCCAGTGCACACTCCCGTGAGTAATGTTGCTGTACTCTGCTAAACCTGTTCTTTATTGATTGTTGACTTTTCTGCTACAGACTAGAAGAGGAGGACTCTGTCACTTGCCCCAGTGAGCCCAGTGAAAGGAACTTGGCACAAACCATTGATACGAACACCTTGTTCGAAGAGAGTGGGAGCAAGGCCAGAGAGTGGTGGAGCCCCCTGAGTCCTGAGAAGTTGGAGGAGGTCAGGAAGGAAGCCAATATGCTGGCTGCACAGATGGAGAAATGTAGACTTCTGCAGAAGGAGAACTCCAGCTCTGACTTGAGGCCTGAGAAGGTTCCAGGATTTGAACCTTTCTCGCCAATCAGATTTTTTCATGCAGAGAATGAGGGGAGCAAGAACTCCAGACGGAAAACTTTCAATGTTAGTAACAGTCCTCTGATAGCACTGCTGCCAACAGTGGGATCTGAAACTCACTTGGCTCGAGATTCTCACAGAGTTCGGTTTCCGATGGGGCGAAGTCCTACTCCCCGTATTGCAAAGACCCCCAATTCCAAGACACTCCAAAATAAAACTAACAGCTGCAGTGCTGACAGCCAGCTCTTTAAAAAATCCAGGCCCAGCAAGTCTCCCAGTGTCTCACCAACAATGATGCCTCACAGTGGTAAGAAGGTATGGTGGCAGGACTGGAGTCTGCATAACTTGCAGTCAAAACATAAAGTCTGGGCTAAGGAAATCCTGGGCTTTGATCCTGGTCTCCCTCCTGACCTTGCTTGTGTCAGTTATTTTAGCCGTGATTCCTTTTCTCTAGCTGCATGTGCCTAGGATGTTTATACAGCATTGTGGTGCTGCCTTCTGAATCTGATGGTAATATGGGAGGCCCTAGATTGTTCCTTCAGCTCTCCTCCTGATCTTTTTTGCAGCTGAGCCAAGTGAATCAAAATTCTTTCTTTAGAATGGCTCACTGCTGTAGAAAGAGCCACCACCATCTTCACTAAAGTTGTCCCCGAGAAGGGGGCACCTGTACTGTGAAACTCCCTCCCAAGTGTTTGTCATCCAGGAGCCACTGAAATGTTTAGACCACTGGCAAACTCTTTTGGCTTGTCAGACTTCTTGAGTTTTTTATTTCTATTGGATCAACCCACCTGCTGTTTTTAATTTTCACTCGTTTTGATTTGTTTGCATAATATGGGAGGATATGATGTGTTGTTGTAAGCCACTCTGAAGAACTTATAGTTGGGAAAAGTCTGTAGAGTTTTATCACTCCCAGGATGTTTCCAATGATGTGTTGTTGTAAGCCACTCTGAAGACCTTATAGTTGGAAAAAGTCTGTAAATAGAGCAGGGCCCTGTTTTATCACTCCCAGGATGTTTCTGAGTACTATTTCTCTTAAAATGTGCTACTTTAAGATCTATATATCCTTCTCTGAACTTGAATTTTTCAGTTACTTTCAAAATTCTGGCTGTGTTCTGCTGTTTTCTTCTGCCTTTAATCTCAGGAATCTAATAGATGCAGTAGGAAGGGTAGACCATCTCCGCTTGCTCTCCCTGGAGCCACCAAAAATCAAAACCTACTACTGGATTTCAGGCCTGCCCTTCAAACTACAAAAAGGGTACTTTTGAGGAAGATGGAGGAAGTTTCTGGCCAAGCCTGTTCTGCTGAAGACCCAGAGGTATTTCCAGCCAAAAGAACAAGCAGTGTGTAATGAGTACTTGAATAGTGCAGTAAGACACACCCTCTTGCCTGTTTTTGACAAGAGTACCTGGCTCTGTTGACGTTCATTCGCATTACTGTAACCTAAGCATGTGAGCAATACATAGACTAATAAGTAGTCAGAATTAAGTGTCATAATCAGGAATCATTCCGGCAATTACAAGTTTATGCCATTCACCTTCGTTCATATATGTGCAATATATGAGTGATGCATGAGGCAGTACTTTCCCATGCAGCAGCTGTATCTATGCATGAAGGTACAGGGACAACTTTTCTTTGCTTCACAGCACATGGCTGTACAGGTTGCTTTCTTTTTATCTTGTTGCATTAGTTGAAACTTCAGGATTCACCCTGTGCAGATACAGTGCCAGTAGCACATGGAAAAGGAAAGCTGAAACCCAGGGTGTATCCATCACAAACTAGCTCCGGAAAGAAGTCCTGTCCTGTACAAGAAATGGTTCCTGTTCAGAAGGCTAATGCAAGTAAGTTAATCTAGACAACTGGGATCAGAACAAATTCCTCTCCACAGAAGAAGGGGGGGGGGGATCTACTACCCGTCAACTTTAAAGACCTAAGCAAGTGGATATTGCTAAATCCCACAGCAGTGAATTTTTTAAAAACATGTTGCATGAAGAAATAAATGTGCTAGTAATTCTAGTATTTTGATGGAGTTTAATGTTGGTTTCCTCACACTGAGAATGCAGTCAGTTTTATAAAAATTATTATTTCTTCCTTTATCCCACCACATTTCCTGGGCAAATCCCAGCTGTTGTATGCCAGCCTCTGTAGGGAAGGTGCTCCAGTGTCTTGGTCCTTTTCCTTTCTGAACTTTCTCAGTTGCTATATCCTTTCAGTAATGGGTGACCAAAAATGCACACAATATTTAAAATGTGGTCACACCATAAATTATAATGTCATCACTATTGCCATTCTTTTTCCCCCAGTACTATACCTAATAAAAATGTACTGCTGATTCGAATACTTTCATTGTTGGAGAAAACTCAGATGGTATTTTCAGTGGGATTTCTGCTCATACTCCAAAGGTCTCTTTCCTTGGTGGTTGTAGCTAATTTAGATCATATCAGTTTATATTTGAAGCCATGATTTATTTATTTACTTTGGTGTAACATGCATCACTTTGCACTTTTTCACTCTGAGTCTCATCTGCCATTCCATTGGCCAGCCCAGTCTGGTGATCCTTTACAGTCAGATTGCCACTATCCTGAATAAACTGGCAATCTTGGCTGCCTCACCGCCCATTCAGATGCTTGTGCAAGTAAGTTAAATAGCACCAGTCTTGATGCAGATTTCTTGAGTGGCTACTGCTGCTTGCTTGTTTGCTTGCTTCCCCTACAAAACCTGTTGATTCTTGCCCTCTTGCTTTCTAAAATGGCTGCATCTAATGGGAATATTCAGCCTCCGATCCCACAACTGCTAAATTTTCTTAGGAGCCTTTGGTGAGGGGCTTTGTCAAAAATGTTTTGACTACAACTATCGACTCACCCCTCTCTATGTATTTTGTTTATCCCTTCAAAGAAATCTCAAAGGCCAGAGAGGAACAAGGAAAACTTCCCTCTTCAGGTTCTTTTGTTTGATGACATTTTAATGATCTGTCTTCAAGCTGCTTTTCCTCTTTCTTTGCAGATCAGGCTAAAACTATGGGGGGCAGCATCCCACAACCGCGGGCCAGCTCCAAGTCTTCCAACAGCAGGTCTTGCCAGACTCGAACCAGGAGCATTCCTACATCTGCGCTTGCAACCAAACTCCCTGTGCCTGTGCTAAGATCCATTCCCAAAACAAACAGTCCTGTCACTGATTCAGGAAGGCATGTGGTCCCAGGAAGGCCCAACCAGCTCAAGCCACTGAGTTCAGGGTTATCTGGTGGGAAGGGATCCAGTGTGTTAATTCTGGCTGGGAAAGGTAAGAACACATGAGAATTGTTATAGGAATTATTGTGACTGAAAAGTGATTGGTAGATGGATTGGACCCCAGGTGTCACGGGGTGGAGGTGACATTTAGACTCCTGCGGTGCCTATGACTGCTAGCTCTAATTTTCACTGCCTTCAGTTAGCACTGTCTGAATCTGCAGAGTTCCTTTCTTTCTCCACCACATCACTGAGATATTGACGAAGACAGTTTTTAAAATGTGCTCTGAAATGAACGTACAAAACTACCTTATACCATCAGACCATGATCTGTCTAGCCCAGGAAGACAGAGGTCTTTCCCAGGGAGACCCAGAGGCCTGCCTGTAGCTGGAGATGCTAGAGTCTGAACTCGAGACCTTCTGAAGGCAAAGCATTCCTTCATGTTAAAATCTCTTGGACATTACTAAACAGCCTGCTCTGATGCTCTGTGCTTTATGAGCAAGTGGAACCAGGAGCCGATTCAGAAAACACATGGTTGAATCATCCTGGGATAGCACTATTAAGAACATAAGAAGTCCTCTACTGGATCAGACCAGTGGTCCATCTATTCCAGCATCCTGTCTCACACACTGGCCAACCAGTTCCTCTGGAGGTCCAACAATGCCATAGAGGCTAAGGCCTTCCCCCAATATTGCCTCCTGATATTCAGAGGTTTGCTGCCTCTGAACATGGAGGCTCCCTTTAGTCACTATGGATAGTAGCCACTGATAGACCTATCCTGTCCAATCTTCATTTAAAGTTGTCTATGCCTGTGGCCATCACTACATCCTCTGGATTCCAAATTTTAATCATTTTAATTTCCTTTTGTCCATCCTGAATCTACTACCCATCAGCTTCATTGGATGGCCTCAAGTTCTAGTATTTTGGGAGATGGAGAAAAAGTTCTCTTTGCCCACTCTCTCCACCCTGTGCATGATTTCATAAACCTTTTTCATGCCCCCCCCATAATCCTACAAGGATTGTACTACTACTAGACTGTTTGAGAGGAACTGATAGTTTTCTGAAGGCAAGGAGTTTCTAACAGCTTCAAATGTGCACGTCAAGGAAAAGTTAGAATCCTTTGCATACTCACTTACGAGAGGCATGGAATTCTTGATGTGGGTGAGTTTCGAAACACATGGATCCAGACACATCCTTTCTGTTTAAATTGGTGGTAAATCTTGGGTATCTGCTCTAATCAAAGCTTACATGCCTGAAGACATCAGTTGAAAAGGACTGTGTGCACACAGGATTAGGTTAATGGTTTGTCTTAATTAAGATTCCTACCTCCATGGCATTGCTATTAATTTATGTGAAATTGGGCCTTGCGTTATTAACTGGGGTTAGTCCAAGAGATACTGGTCATTGTGATATTAAGCATGCATTCAGAAGCTCTTACCTGGGAGTAAATCCCACTGAATTCACTGGAACTTAGTACAATGCTAAATATGTTTCCTTGAAACTATAAGAGTACCCTGCTCCAAACAAACCCTCTCTACCAATTTTAGAAGATTCCATGTCAGTAATTTTGACGGCTATTCCATTTCTGGCATTCTTGATGAATTGAGAATGCTAGGAATGATGTTATATTTATTTATTTATTTATTTATTACTTTAGGCTTGATATACCGCCCTAACCCCCGAAGGGGTCTCTGGGCGGTTCACATTTTTGTCGTTCTAAGAACTAGTTTCCTATCTTGGGCCACATCTAGAGTTAGGGGTGGGACTGCCTACTGGCACCCTCGGTGGTATATATGCTTCTTCTGCTTCCTCGGCTCGGCTCGGCATCTATTTATCGGCGGCTAATGTTATATAGCACAATGGTTAAGAAATGAAGCATCTAGGTGACCTGCTATTTTTTGTCGAAGATTTCCAGTTTAACTGTGTTTTCAGAAACACTTTATGTAGGTCATGGGCTTCTGAAATAATAATTCAGGCTTCTGAAAAAGTATTTTGTAATTTTCAACAGTGTTTTAAGACTGGGCTTTTTGATCTACAGAAGTGTCTAACAAGCTGGAAAGTATACAGTAGAGAATAATTACCAGGATCAAACACCTGGAAAGCAAGGTACGAGTCTAGATGAGGGAGCTAGGTAGGGGTCGGTTAAAAAAAAAAAACCATGGTGTTTTTCGGGTTCATGTATATTGAACCTGAAAAATACCCCATAGGGTATAATGGAGAATCTATCGGGGGCTGTTTGTTGTTGTAGAGGCATCAAATTTGCAGCATAGCTGCTGGTGCCTCTCCTCAAAAGAGACCCCAAGTGTCAAAAAGATTGAAGTCTGTCACTGCTTCCATGACTTCCCCTTCTATTTGCCAAGGAGTGATGGGCCCAGATGCCATGATCTTAGTTATTTTAATGTTGAGTTTCAAGCCAACTTTTTCACTTTCCTCTTTCACCATCAGCAATAGGCTCTTTAGGTCCTCTTCACTTTCAGCCATTAGAGTAGTATCGTCTGCATATCTGAGGTTGTTGATGTTTTTCCCAGCAATCTTAATTCCGGCTTGTGATTCATCCAAGCCAGCATTTTGCATGATGTACTCTGCATATAAATTAAATAAGCGGGGTGACAATATACATCCTTTTTGTACTCCTTTTCCTATGCTAAACCAATCAGTTGTTCCATATCTGGTTCTAACTCTTGCTTCTTGACCCTTATACAGGTTTCTCAAGAGACATGTGAGGTGGTCTGTTACTCCCATCTCTTTAAGGACTTGCCATAGTTTGTTGTGATCCACATAATCAGAGGCTTTAGCATAGTCAATGAAGCAGAAGTAGATGTTTTTCTGGTACTCCCTTGCTTTTGCCATAATCCAACTAATGTTGGCAATTTGATCTCTAGTTCCTCGACCTCTTCAAAACCCTGCTTGTACTTCTGGCAGTTCTCTATCCATGTACTGCTGAAGCCTAGCTTGTAGAATCTTGAGCATGACCTTGCTAGCGTGTGAAATGAGTGCAATTGTGTGATAGTTTGAACATTCCTTGACACTGCCCTTCTTTGGGATTGGAATGTAAACTGACCTTTTCCAATCCTGTGGACATGTGCATTTTCCAAATTTGCTGGCATATTGTGTACAGCACTTTAACAGCATGATGTTTTAAGACTTTGAGATAGTTTGAACATTCCTTGGCATTGCCCTTCTTTGGGATTGGAATGTATACTGATCTTTTCCAATCCTGTGGCCACTGTTGCGTTTTCCAAATTTGCTGGCAAATGGAGTGCAGAACTTTAACAGCATCCTCTTCTAAGACTTTGAATAGCTCAGCTGGAATACCATCACCTCCACTAGCTTTGTTGTTAGTAATGCTTTCTAAGGCCCATTTAACTTCACATTCCAGGATGTCTGGCTCAAGGTCAGTGATTATACCGTCGTGTTTGTCAAGGACATTGAGGTCTTTCTTGTATAGTTCTTCTGTGTATTCTTGCCATCTTTTCCTAATCTCTTCTGCTTCTGTTAGGTCCCTACCGTTTTTGTCCTTTATCATGGCCAGCTTTGCATGGAACGCTCCCTTGATTTCTCCAATTTTCTTGAAGAGATCTCTAGTCCTTCCCATTCTATTGTTTTCTTCTATTACTTTGCACTGTTCATTCAGGAAGGCCTCCTTATCTCTCCTTGCTGTTCTCTGGAAATCTGCGTTCAGTTGGGTAAATCTTTCCTTTTCACCTTTGCTTTTCACTTTCCTTCTTTTTAATGCTATTTGTAAAGCCTCATCAGACAGCCACTTTGCTTTCTTGCATTACTTTTTCTTTGGGATGGTGCTGATTGCTGCCTCCTGTACATTGTCATTAACCTCTGTCCATGGTTATTCAGGCACACTGTCTATCAAATCTAGTCCCTTAAACCTATTTTTCACCTCCACTGTATATTCATCATGGATGTGATCTACCAGGTCAAACCTGAAAGGTTTAGTGGTTTTCCCAACTTTCTTCAGTTTAATTCTGAATTTTGCAAAGAGTAGCTCATGATCTGAGCCACAGTCAGCTCCAGGTCTTGTTTTTACTGACTGTATAGAGCTTCTCCGTCTTTGACTGCAAATGATATAATCAATCTGATTTCAGTGTTGCCCATCTGGTGATGTCCATGTGTAGAGTCGCCTCTTAGGTTGTTGGAAGAGGGTGTTCGCTATGACCAGCATGTTCTCTTGACAAAACTCTGTTAGCCTTTGCCCAGCTTCATTTTGTTCTCCAAGGCCAAACTTGTCCATTATTCCGGTTACCTTTTGACTTCCTACTTTAGCATTCCAGTCCCCTATGATGATAAGGACAGGGGTTTTTTGTTGTTAGTTCTAGGAGGTGTTGTAGGTCTTCATAGAACCGGTCCACTTCAGCCTCTTCTGCATCAGTGGTTGGGGCATAGACTTGGATTACTGTGATGTTGAATGGTTTGCCTTGGATTTGGACCAAGATCATTTTGTCGTTTTTGAGATTGTGTCCCATTACTGACTTTCACACTTTCTTGTTGACTATAAAGGCCACACCATTTTTTCTACGGGATTCTTGGCCACAGTAGTAGATATAATGGTCTTCTGAGTTAAATTCACCCATTCCCATCCACATTAGTTCACTGATTCCCAAGATGTCGATGTTCAGTCTTGCCATCTCGTTTTTGACCTCGTCAAGCTTACCTAGATTCATAGATCTTACATTCCAGGTTCCTATGCAGTATTGTTCTTTGCAGCGTTGGATTTCCTTTCACCATCGGGCACATCCACAGCTGAGCATCCTTTCAGCTTTAGCCCAGCCGCTTCACTCTTTCTGGGGTTACTTGTACTTGCCCTCTGCTCTTTCCCAGTAGCATATTGGACAACTTCCAACCTGAGGGGCTTATCTTCCGGCGTCATATCTTTTAGTCTTTCATTACTGTCCATGGGGTTTTCTTGGCATAGACACTAGAGTGGGTTGCCATTTCCTTTTCCAGTGGATCACATTTTGTCTGAGTTCTCCACTATGGCCTGTCCATCCTGGGTTGGCCCTCCACGGCATAGCCCACAGCCTCCAAGCAGTGAAATCACCCAGAAGGCACTTAAAGGGACTGTGAGCCCTTTAAACGCCTTTGGAGTTCACTCACTGCAGATTTGTATGGCTTGGAGAAGTCGATCCCTTTAAATGACCTTTAAGTTCAATTATTGGGCAACCCCCAAAATCCCAAATAAGGTATTTTCCGGATTTTTGGGGGGCTCGGATTTACCTGAATGCATACCCCTAGAGCTGGGACATATTCAATGTGGAAATAGACTAAGGAAGGAAATTATTTTTCCAAGCTCCGGTTTTCAAAGGTCTAGGTGGTTTACTCAAAGGAACTATACATTTATTCTTTGAGGTCACTGAAGATGAACCAACCAGGGAATGGGCCTAAGTTGTACAAGGACGCATTCATATTAAATATCTGGAGCACATTTTTTTCCCCACTTTTAACATGGAATTAAATAAATTTAACCCAAGTCATAGCAGAGTCTTGAATACTGATTTTTATGCACGTTTGAGAAGGATCTTCAGGAATGGTTTACCCTGTAAAATTTTGGTTGCTACTTTTTGACTGATGAACACTGAGTTTCTCTCAGCAGTTTGGAATTATCTTTGTTATTGTTCAGGAGGAAACAAGCATGATTGGCATGAAAACTCATTCTGCTTTAGGAATTCAAATAATGCATGGCCTTTTTCCTAAGTAACAGTGGACAGTTTTTACAAAGCTGATCTTCACAGAAGAGTCAAGCAGTGTGCTAGCTAGGCTGTATACATAATACAGAGTTAAATTTTTTTTAAATGCATCATTGTCCTACAGATGTTTTGAAGACAAATCATAGCGTGAACTTAAATCTTGCCAGTCGACATACAGGAGGCTGTCTTGAAAAGAAGCATGTTTATTTCTTCCAGGTGGTGCTATGGATCCTGACTCTCATTTAGCAACATGCTGGTCTTTGCTGGATTCATTTGCTCTGCTCAACTTCTCCTTGGTCCTAGAGCAGACATTCCAGGCAGGTCACAGTGAAAGACATTGGAATGCTGCTTAGTGTCATCTAAGTGAAATACTCCATGCTGATTTGTAGATTTACAATTCTCCCTTATCTTTCCTTTCTAAAGCTTCTACATGTCGGCAGACACTCCCTTCTGGTACCTTTCAGAGCAGCAGGTCACAAGTGACCAAGAAGGCAGTCTCCAGTTCTTCTCGGTGAGGTTTTGTCTCTCCTTCTGCTTCCAAGCCTGGGGTGGGGGGGCAACAATAGTCCCAACAGCACTGATATTTATGGATGTGGATTCAGTACTCTTGGTTGGCATGCTGGATGTGAAAACTGAAGCCAGTAGGACCAGTGTGCACCTCTCTTGTAAGTATCCGCTCAGCTTAACATCAGCCAGTTGCCCTGTGTGTCACTGTAGTATGTCTGTCTGCCTCTCTGTTCTGTCAGCCTGGCAAAGATGTTGCCTCCAAAGAATGATTGTAGGGATTACCTGGCTGTGGACTTCACCTTATGTGCAATTCGCTCACCTGAAAGGCAGTGGCATTTTACATACCTGCCATTTTTTATTTAACAAATAAAACCTTATCATCAGCCCTGGTATCTCTAATTGGGTTGGTGGGCTCACTTGGCATTAAAGGGGCTTGGAATATAAATAACAGTATAAGATTGCACAGTACTTGGATAATACAGAGGAAAGGAACTAGTCAAAGTGACAACTCAAACTTGTAGTAGTAAATTGCTTGGTACTATGAACTACATAAAAGTTCTAAAATTTATTTCTTTAAATTGGTTCCTGCATGTAATTAAAATGCAATTAATACATTGAATTAAGCATTTGTGAGGCTATCCTAAAGGTCCTCCCTTTCCTTGAAGGTAAACTATGTTGGACATCACTAAATCCTTGGGGACAGGAATGTCTGATGGATCCAAACTTCTTCCCTGTGAAGAGGGAATCAAGCTACATGTCTAGCCTCAGTTGGAGGCTTCATAAGAAGCTCTCGTCACTGCTTCAGCAAGGCCACTCATCTGCAGAGCTTCCACTGTGGCTCTCCTTCACCCTAATCACACCTGTTGCTCTTGTGCAAAACCAAAAAGTTAGCCTGGTGACAAAAGCAGTGCTGACTCTTGTTCTACCACAACTTCCCTGAACACCTCTGATGAATGGAGCAAACTTGCACTGCTGGAAGGCGTCTCGAACTGCAGACTGGGAAACTTGGTCAAGACTTGTTTCCTCTGCAAACTTTTTCCATAGCGTCTTCTCATGGCTTGTGATAATTGGTCTAGTTCTCTTATACCCTGATATATTGCTAGTGAAAGCCACCCTTATTTGGGACCAATGCAGTCCTTATATTTAGTCTTGGGGCATTTGACTACAGAACAGGGTGGTATCAAGCTATTACATCATTGCTGGACAGTATATATGTTGCCCTACAATAACTACTATGTTAAAACACTAATTTTCTATGGGTGTGAATTTCAGATTAGGGAGAATTTGGAGGGGGGAGCCTTTGGGTTATTGTTGTTTAAGCTTTTACCATGCATTAAGAATCAGGTGGCTCCAGTGTTCATATGAGTAAAAGATAGGCAGCTCCTATGTCAAACCATTTATAATTGTATATGTCTGTCCTATTTTCCCTTAATCTCTTCTAGAAAGTTTCCTCTAATTTCAAGCCCTAATGGGTCCTGTGCTACCATGATTGCAGTCTGCCAAGAATATTTTGTCTCGCAATCAATTCTGTGCTGTGAGCTGAGCAATCTAAGGCAGAGTTTGAAATTATCCACAAAGATGAGAGTAAAGAAGAAAAATCTCTGTCTTTCTCTTCAGGCAGGGCTCCTTTACTGTCATCAGCTGCATGACAGGCAAGAATTAAATAAATACTGGGAAAAGCGTCACTTGTTAAATTTCTGCAGCATAGGCAAAAATTTAAGTTGAACTGCTTGAAAAAGGTGACCTATTAAATTACTAGATCATTCATTGTATCTCCTAAAACCACTTCCTGTTACTAGTTGCCTTTATACTGTATTCTGTCTTTTTAAATGATGTTCAGATTACAAGTGCACATTATCTAAGATTTAGAGATTTAACTTGATTATTAGTAAAAAGTTGTGATAGCTTATGGGAAAGGGTTGTTGAGTATAGGAGACCAAAGCCCCCCGATATCCCAAATCTGGTCCTAAACTGAGTGCAAGAAGTAATGACATAAATTTTAAAAGCTCAGAGCTCAGATGAATATGTTCTTTCAGTTTAACTCATTCTTTTGCAATATTAGGAACTGGAGCTAGATATCAAACTCTTTTGGTAGAGGACTCTGCAGTTCATTTCTTCATTTCTCAATGGAGATGGCTGTTTCCCTTGGTAATGTTTGTGTGACAATCATTTTCTGAATCAAGGACATTGCAGTTTGTTCTGTGGTCTGTAAATAGGAATGGGCATTTGCGTTGAATGTTTTGTGATACTATATGCCTGCCAAAGGTAGAAGTCAATAGTGTCTGATCCTCAGGGCCTCTACTCAGGCATTTAAGCTAGTGTTAGTAAAAGAATATGCAGTGGTTCTTGGAATGTGTTCAAATTCAAAGAAATTCCAAGAAGCAAGTGGATACAAGAGATACTGGCTAAAGCTACATTCAGAGTAATTTGCCTTTCTGTATACCTTGTCTGAGTTCGAGGGAACGATCTTTAACAAAATGCAGCAATTACTCTGACACTGTTGATTAAATGTTGTGTGCTGTACCTCTTTTAAAAAGTATGATTTTTGTAATAAAACATAGTATTGTTATAATAAGGCTTGTAGTAAACTACTGAAAGTCTATTTAGATGGTGGTGAAAGTAGAAAAGTTATTACCTCCTCTGTCAAACAGCACTCAGTGAGAGGAGAACATATACCCTACTCCTTCCTAAACAGCAGCTGGATCTTCCAGTGGGGTGCAACCTACTCCTGCCAGCTAGCTCTGCTCATGGGAGAGGCTTCTGCAACATCAGAACACTCCTTCCACCAATAGGAAGGTGCCAACAGAGTGGCCTGCTAGAACACAAACCCAAAATCTACAAGAGTGTAAATCACTGGAAGCTCTCAGCAGAATTAGTGCCTCTTGCAGATCTGCTTTGGCATATTGAGCTAATCCTACCTGCAGTGGACTCCTACATTTCACAGTGGTTAGGAATTTCTTGTGACTAGGCACTGTCCATGCTGGGCTGTGGGCTCTGTTATTTAATCCCTTTTGCAGTAGACGCATACCATCCCCGCCTCTCTTTACTGCCGAAAGACAAGTCCAGGGATGCAGATTTCCTTTTAGCAACTCTCTCCCCTTCACCATACCCAGCCATTACCCATCCATCTCTCAAAGCTACCATGTGAATGTGGAGGCTTCAAGTTTTTTCTCGGCTTTACCGCAATCTGGTTACTTAGTTCAGTATGCCTCCTTCCCTCAGGCAGCTGTGTTTAGTACAGGATATGGACACAGTACTGAAATGGAGCCACCTGAACAGAACTATGGTTTTTATTATTTAGGGGGGGGGGTTCAACCCTACAGTATTTACATTAATAACTCTATCTGTACACTTCAACTATTAGTACCAAGGAGAGAGCCAACATCATATCAATATCTATCAAAACATAAGCCTTTACAGGAACAGTTGCTGGCTCTCTTTCCTCATACTGTGCCCCTCCCCGGGTAGCTGATGTAGGACAGCTGGTATTCTCAGGAATGGTAGAGTGCTCCTTTTCCTGGCAAGGCTCCTGTGCTTCTCACAGCTGCTTGCCAGGTAGAAACTAAACAGGTTAGGCTTTCCCTAGCCTGGAGGCAGGCACAAAAAACCTGCTGAAATTCTTTATGCCATGCAGCCACTCCAGGCATTGGAGTGCTGTCAGGAAACAGGAGGTCATCCTACCTGGCTCTGGCTTAGTTTCTACTGCAAATAACCTTATTAGTTATTGCAGAGGATGTTGATGGAAGAACCACTGGTTTTGAAGCTGCTGTTAACAGACTGTGGCCCTAGGACTACAATGAGAGACGCACAGATTTGGACAGTGATGGTTATTCATTACCTGTGCAGCAAGAGGTTTACTTAGCTGTGCGAAGAGCATAGACAAGTTTGTATTGCGGTTCCACTGCAGCTGCTAATGAACAGACTCTCTAAACCCAACATACCATTTTGTGCATCAGTTGCTGTTTCACCCTCTTCCAGATGTTGCGTGGTATCTTCTCCCCCCCAACAATTGTCAGGTTTTGACGATGGACAGGGTATAGGCATTTTCTTTCATATACCTCTTAATGCTTCAGGCGATGATGATGTGTGTATCTCCTCCCCACCCCCCAAAAAAACCCTCCTCTCATTGCAGTCCCTCCTTTGGATGGTACAATTTTGGATAGACACTCTCCAGTTAATATTTATATATATATATTTTAAAAAATTACAAATAAATTAAAACGCAGACATGCCTATCACATCTTCTCCACAGGTGAGATAGCCAACAGGTGAATTGTATCTTCTCTCCATGGTAGCACATGGGTTCAAAAAGGCTAAGTGATACCAGTGACGTGATGAAGCAGAAGCTAAGTTATTTCATGAAGCCAGTCTCCTCCCAATCAGTGACCTGCTTTTAAGGTTTAATACTATCCTGACAATTTATCCTTGGTCACTAATTGAGGGGAATTCCCACCCACTACTGTCCTATTTTGGGCAAAGTCATAGATTTTTCCCCCAAAAGTCATGACAGTTAGGACAGCTCAATGACCCAGAATCCTTTGGGCCACTACTGCAGTATCCCAACGAGAAAACATCTTGCATAGGACATCGGTAGCACAGGCTAGTTTGTACACTTGGCTTAGGACCTAGATGGGTGGCAAGTCAGGGTTTGAGGTATTGTCAGGGTTTGGAGATAGAACAATTGGCCAAGGTCTTTTTTCTGGCACAGCTCCTGTACTTTTAACAGTTCTGTGACAGACGTAAATACCACAAGTGAAGGTTTTTTCAGCATGTACCTGAAATGATCAGAAAGGCTTCAGCTGCTGGCTGTTTGCCTACTGTGCTGCCCCAGAAGGGGAGAACATTGGCAAATGCTGGCCAGAGAACTACAGCCGGGGGGGGGGGGGTCCTTTTTGGAAGACATTTGTACAGTAGCCATTAGTTCTGCCTCGCATCTGTCATTCACACCTGCAGAGCAGATTCTTGGGTTTCCACTGATAGCGTACTTCACATCAGAGAGATTCAATATGTTACTTTACTCCTACTCTGTGAGCTGGCAATGGGAAGCGGGGGGGGGGGGGGGGAGCTTCCCTATTTGCTTTCATCCAAGACAATTTCCCTGCTGCATCTCTTTATATCATGTGACTAGAGTTGATCAAAATATGTTGTGTTTCTTTTCCCCTAGAGATTTTGATATACTAGCTAGGGCTGATAGGAGTGCCCCATTCTCTACGGGCTGAGGCATCAATATTCTCACACATGAGGCTCCTGAGAGAGGACAGGGTCTACTTGTGTGAGGACCCAAAGCATGTCTTTTAATGCTGCAGTATTATGGTAAGCAGCCTGCTAGGAGAGCAGAGGAAGTGCAAATATAATTGTTTAGCTGGACTTTTGATTTCCAGATGGATCTCCACTCTCCTTGGGTTTACAGAGGAGAAGTTAACTTACGTGGAACTGATGGTCAAGGCAACATCCCCCCAGCTAGAACTCAATTGCTGCTCCTTCTGCATTAGGAAAAATATCCTTCATTCTTTGACCTAGGCTTGGAGCTAAACTGCTCACAGAGTACATTTTGATGGAAACAAAAATGCATCAGATCAATTATTCTACATAAGAAGCTGTGCTGGAACTGATCTCCTGTCTGCTTAACCTTGTGGTTCACACACACAGTAGCTGCTACGAACGTGCCAGGCTGACATGACACAGATTTAAAAGCATCACATCCTATTACATTAAACTATTCCAAGAAAGGGCTGCTAGGAATTGGCAAGGAGGCTCCAAAAGACCAGGCGGCAATGGCCAAGATTTCCAGAGGCAATGAGAGGAGATGCCTCATTTTGAGAACCCCATCCGTGGCTAAGCCAGGCCATGAAGATGGTCACGGTCCTGATTAGCTCCTCCTCATGCAAACCTTGGCTAAGTCGGTAAAGCGTGGCAGCGTCTAACGAGACCTGATACAGCTACAAAGCTAAAAGTTATAACCCAGACATCTTTTCATCCCTTTAAATTAGAACATCCTTCAGCAGTGGTCAAATAAAAAATTACATCAAAATAAACAGTGCCTTCACCCCTCCCCAAGCTTCCCCCCTCTTTCCCCACGCCCTTATCAGAAAAATCTCTTTCCCAAGAACATTATAAAAAACTTTCCAAAAGGACCCAGCATGAACATCCCCCTGATGAACAGGCATCTGGCTTGGCTGAGTGTAGAAAAAAATGAAGGCTTCTGAGGCAGAAAGGCAGCGCCCCGTCGGCATGCGAGCCGGGCGCTAATCGGGAGACATGAAGGCAGCATCCGTGCTCCAGCCCAGCAGCACAGGGAGCAGGTGCTGACTGGTCAAGAGGACTTTTTTTCTTTTTGTCATTTTCTATTAAAATAATTGCAGCATGAAGAGATGACTCAGCAGGCCACTCCCACTGTGCTCAGCACCTTGTGAGATGCCTCTCAGAGCAGTCCCAGTAGGGCCAAGTCACTGAATTGGCAGGCTGAGCTTGGAGAGGTGGCTGCCACAACCACCTGGTTAAAAAAGTAAGTTTTTGTGGTCCAAGAGGGAGCACTTCCACGGATGCCAGTATCCTCTACCAGGTTCTAACCTCGCTCAAGAGTTGTCCCACAGAGTTTTGTGGTTCCACTGTGGCATCTGGAGTACCAAGTCTGAGGTGAGCAACTTGCCAGAGAAGGGACGAGATTCTCAGCTGATGCAGATTGGTGGAGTCAATGGACATATGGAGCATCCTGGAGGCCTGACTCTGGGTTTTTGTTATTATAAACCTCCTCTTCTTTAAGCAATGTAATCAAGAAACACTTTCATTTTCCTTGAACCAGAACAGAATAGATGGCATTGAGTGCTGTCCTGCAGGAACCTCTCAGGTACTTATACAGAAAGTTTTTTGGATGAGAAAGTTTCTTTCCCTGATATTCAGCCTTTCTCGATTCTCTGGATGCTTGGCATGGCAAAGCCAGATTTCAGCCCCACCCCCCCACCCCCATCTCTCCTATGTGCCAAACAGATAGAGACTGACTTGCCCGCTGTGTTAACATCCATCAATTGCTCCTGGAGGCATGTTTAAACTCCCCTGCAATAGGATGATACAAAACCACACTTAGGATATTCCTACACATAATGCAGAGGGAGGCCAGCGCTATCTTCTGGGATTGTGCAGGTGAGGCCTTTAGAGAGCTTAGCTTTAATGAGAGTCTACCTGTAGTGCCTACACAGTGCCTAACACAGGCCTCATGCTGCTGTGTTCTCTGGCCTTAATCCAAAATTCCCCAGTCCTTGGAGAAAGTCAGAGCACTGTCCTGTCCCTCCAGAAATTGTGCCCTGTTTGATTTGCCACAACACAAGCTAAAAGCTACAATGTTCTGTTCCCCCAGTGGCATCTGTCTTCAAGCACCCTGACCCCTACTCAGCCCCACTGTCAGATATGCAGACTTCTGCACAGTAAAGCATTTCCAGAGGCCTGGGCACGTGGTTGCTGTTGAGGCTCCCCCGCCCAACTGGATCGATCAGAAAAATATTCCAGACTTGCAACAGTTCCAGACTGGGAAACGAAGCATGAAAATCCCTGAAGACTTGGAGGTGGTCAAGTTTGTGTTTCTGTCCATTGTACAATGATTCAAAGTGCATCTGTTCAAGTAGGTCTGTCTCCTGGGACCTGCCATTGCCCTGGTGCCAGGGTGGCAAGTCAGTTTCATTTGGCACTACATACAGTGGGTCCAGCTACCCAGACCGTGCAGGGCTGGGCCGGGCTGAAGGAGACAACATTCCTCGCTGCGGTTTGAGAGCAATCCTGGCTCCCGGACTGGCCAATGCACAAGAGAGTCTGGTGCGTGCGGCGTCAGATTGAGGTTTCATCACTCCTGCTCAGTGATCAAACATAAAGCGAGACAGGAAAGGGGGAAACACAAACATATGAGCATGTTCATGAGCAGGTTTGGGCAAAGCACCCCCCCTGGGGCTTGTGTGTTAATGGAGAAAATTAAAAAACAGAAATCTAGGCGATCGAAGAGAGAGGTGAGAGAACGAGAGACAGAGAAGGGAGGAGAGGAGGAGGAGAGGGTGTGTTAGTGCCAGAAAGCTGAAGAAGAAGTTAGAATAGGACAGTGTTGCCTCATTCCCACTCCATCCCAGATAGTACATTATCCTAGTATGTTATCCTACCCTACTCTATAAATGCTAAATGCTGTAGCATTTATCAGTAATTCATGAAAAGCCTTAGCTTTTGGGTAACAGAGAGAGGAATCCTAAGCAGGTCTACTCAGGATCTTATTTAGGTCTATTTAACAGGGCTTATTCCCAGAAAAGAGTTCTTAGGATGCTACTGACAGCCTCTGGCCAGATGAAAGGAAATTTTAGATATTTTTTTAAAAAATGCTGCTCTAGCAATCTGACCACAACGCTGAGATACATTTTCATACTATCCCTCTGGCCTTAGAGAGAGAACTGGTACCCACCCACAGGCCTCACTCTGCCCCACAGAGACAAGAAAGGGAGAGCCAGACAGCCTGATCTTGACAGCTACTACCACACTTTTCAAGTTCTACACCAAATCAGGCTGCGGGTCTACTGAAATAGCCATTGATCTTCCTGGCCACAAGCCTGCTCAGAGTCTAATCCAAATATGCAAGAACTGATGATGAGGGAGACAGACGGTCTAGCAAGTCCAAGTGAAAATGCCAACCCCGCCCCAGCCCATTATCAGAAGAAGTGCAAGGATTCAGTACAAGCTAGGTAGGCTCTAAGGACCTGCAAACAGTGACAGAGAGAGGAGCATTCTTTTTCAAGAGGCAGAGCTGGGGGAGGGGAGTCAAGTTCTAGAACAGAAAGATTTGAGGTACTGGGCCTACTGTGTGAACAAGGGAACTCCTGTGAGGCAGGTGGCTCACACCTCTGGGCTGCTGAATACAGTCCACCAGACAGAGGACTCGGTCATACTCACTCGGAGCCCGAGGAGTCCTCATCCACTGTGCCAGTCTTTATGCTCATGGCAATGGGCGTAAGGCCATTGAGCTGCTCCTGAAGTGTCTGGCGAGGTCGTGGTGCCCCTCCCCCACGACTGCCATCACTGCCCGAAGAACCATGCGAAGAAACCATTCCTGAGTGGCAGCTGGACAGCTTGTTGTGGATACGCTGAATGCTGTTCTTCTCACTGATGGGTGGCAGGCACTTCTTCTTCAAGATGCCTGAGGGGAGAATAGAGTTAGGGGGAACATTTCCTAGAGGTAGTACACCAAGCTTGCTCCATCATCTCCCCCCTGCACCACTAATTTCTCCTCAGAAGGTACGCAACCCCTCACTAATATCAATGGAATCAGTGAGATGGGGAGTGACAATTTTGCTTGCAGTGTTACCGTTAATATTCTTTGGTAACACTGAAAACTGAGGCTTTGTCCCTGCATTCTTCTCAGACAGAATGTGTGTGAAATCAAGGACTGCATCAAATTCAGGCTATATTACAGTTTACTGAGGCATGTCAGTCAGTGAGTGATTGGCCATTCTTGCATTTCTGGATCTGCGTAAGCTGGGCTTAATATGCTTTATACCGGAAGAAAATCAAGATTCTGAGTCAAAAAAAAGGTAAGATGATGTAAATTAAGCAAACTTAATGATAAGTCTTGTGCATAAGTACTGTGCAAGCAGCAAGGAACTATGCAGTGTGCTGAAATCCTACCTCCTGATAACTCCTTGAGATTTTATTCTGCACTAGCGACATGCTTTGGTCTTATGACCACAGGAATAATGCCTAGAAACATGCTCAACTGACAGCATTATCCTTGGGGATCTTAAGTTGTATGGGAAAGCAGCACATAAATGTTTAAAATAAAATATTAAATGTGTAGAATTCCCTCCATCTAAGCCCACTGATTTCAACAAGCTTGGACTGGTGGCAGTTCATGGGATGAAGCACAGGGAAGCCTCCACCACTGTGCACTGCTGAAGAGTAGGGGAAAGTGATTCCTTCACCATCAGGCAACACGAGGCAGCGACAGAGCTGACAGTGCTACGATGCAGCACTGCATAGGTGCACAGTTTCTGAGAGCTTAGTAAAACCCAGTGCCTGCCAGCAAGTGACACCATAGAGCTATTCCCCTGCCCCCTCCCCCCCCAACTGCTGCTGGTTTGGACTGGAGTAACTCTGCATAGGGTTGCAGTAAGACTCTTAGGATGCTGACTTCTGCATCCAATACTAACTGCACTTGTGCAGGATACCAAGTAGAATAGGCTCCTTTTCCTTTCTAAGATTGCGTAGGGGGAGTGGGTGTTCCACAGTCAAATCTCTTTACCTTTCTGGGGCTGAGCAGCAGGGTGAGGCAATGAACTCAGGATGTTCTCCCTGGTCTGTGTCTCCCCATTCTCTCTGGGCGCTTCCTCTGCCTGCCCCAGCCACTCATTCTTGCCAACTGGCTCCACACGCAGCCTCTCTGACCCAGCATGCCCATCACTCTCACTAGCAGTGGTGACAAAGTCTCCTGGCCAGTAAGGTTTGCCAGGACCAGAAAGGTTGTCTGCTGGGAAGAAAGGATAAAAGAGCACAGGTGTGAACCCTTTGCCATTCTCCCTGCAATCTAGGATATGTGAAGGTTATTCTCAGTCCAGTTATGCTCAGCCACGTTAAACTAAAACAGGTAACCTATTTAAGGAAAATAAATTTATACCAAAATGCATGAGATGTAGGCCCAGAGAAAGCGACATGACTGAAAAACAGCTGGAAAGGGTCTTTCCTCAGCTCCCCGGTTCTGAAATCCCCACAGGACACAAGAGGAAGGTCATATCCAGTATCTTGCTGAAATATTATGGATGCTTTAAGAACTGAATTCTTTTGTCAACCAGCTGTACAGTGGGCAAGGATTTAATGGAGCAAGACAGGGCATCCAGGCAAGGCAAGCCCAGGGGGCCTGGGAGGATGCAGTACTCCTGACCCCCCCAATGGACAGTGGTTAGGTCCTGAAAGGGCCACATATCCCTGCCTGGCCCTGTCAGGGTTGTAAGGCTGCCCCCACCCCAAATCAGCTGCCGGTTGTGGGGGTCATTGCTGGCATCCTGACACTTATTGGTGTAGTGGTTAAGTGTGCGGACTCTAATCTGGGAGAACCGGGTTTGATTCCCCACTCCTCCACTTGCACCTGATGATGTGACCTTGGGTCAGTCACAAGCTCTGGCACAGCTGTCCTTGAAAAAGAGCAGTTTGTGTCAGAGTTCTCTCAGCCCCACCCACCTCACAGGGTGTCTGTTGTGGGGAGGGGAAGGGAAAGGAGTTTGTAAGCCGCTCTGAGACTCCAAGTGAAGGGCAGGGTATAAATTCAATCTCCTCTTCTTCTTATCAATCACACCTCTGTCTTCTGTACCCCCATCTCCCACCAGTGGCATTGATTCAGGGTCCAAAGCCCAACTGCTGAGAAGACTGATATCTAATGTCAGTGCCGCAATAAAGAACAAACTAACAGACCAACAATGATTCAAAATCTTACTATTCTGAGAGGAATCTCAGTAAGCTGAGGGTTGGCGCTCTGAGCTAGCAGGGGCCATCCCACCTTTCCACAATCAGAAGGACTCCGTTTTTCTAGAACTTCGCCAAGTTCCCTCCCAGAAGTACCTTTCGGAGTGCTGTGCGCTGGCATTTTTTCACTGTTAGGGCACAGCAAGTTCTCCCAGCAGGGCTCTCTGGGAAATTCTTCATCCTCTTCACTGTCTGAAGAGTGGGTGGAAGCGTAGGAGCCACTCTGATCGTCCTCCAGAGAGAGGTCACTGTCCGAGTCAGAGTCATGCTCTGTGGCCAGAGGAAAGAGAAAGGGGCTTACTGCTCATTACAGCACCAGGGCTGATGGAACTGTCAGTCCAGGAACTGTCACCATAGCACCCACTCTTCCTACACACACACTCATTTGCCAACCCCATCTAAGGGCTCATATCAGACCTCAGTAATTTAAGGTGGGTGTCTTGATTTTGGAATAGGCATGTGGAGCCGCCACTTCCTCTTGTTCATCAGGCATCACAGATCAATGACTAGTTATAGGACAAAACCAATCATGTTCCTTGCCCCCACTGCTCCCAAGCAAGGGGACCAGGGAAATAAGCACAAAGTCATCGATCTACTGATGACTCACAACTCTTTCTTTCCTTCCCAGGTGAACCTAAGGAGGCAATGGAGACCTTGAACCAGTTTCTGGGGGAAGTGAAGGTCTGGGTCATGGGGAGGATATCACCCCTTTTCACAGCTATCCTGGCTTTCAGTTTGCTCCTAGTGCCAAATTCAAAGTGCTGGTGTTTACTTTTAAAGGCCTAAATGGGATTCGACCTGGGTACCTGTGAAGCTGCCTGAACCCATACTTCTCTGCCTGTAGCCTGAGGTCTTTGAGGGCTAGCTTGCTCTGCATGCCAACTTTGTATGAGATGAGAATGGTGGGCACACAAGCAAAGGCCTTCTTTGTTGTGGCTCCCAGGCTTTGTACTTCCATTCCTGGAGACCCAACTGGCTCACTCACTGAAGGCCTTCCAGACATCTATTCAAACTAGTTTTTCCCCAGAGGGACTGGGGAGGGGCAGGTCTAAATCTTCCCTTCCCTTCCAGTGTGAGTTATTTTATGCCTGTTCTTAATTTATGGTTTATTTTTACC